GACTGTGAGTATTTAGATGCTCTGACCTAAACTTAAAGAAAGTATTAAGACACGGTGACTGTGAGTATTTAGATGCTCTGACCTAAACTTAAAGACAGTATTAATACACGGTGACTGTGAGTATTTAGATGCTATGACCTAAACTTAAAGACAGTATTAATACACGGTGACTGTGGGACCTAAAGGTTGATAGAGTTTATGATAAGATGTTGAATTAAAGCAGTTCTTTGTGTTGTTGGTTCTAAACCTCAGTGAAGATGAACATGAAGAAGTTTTCAGACTTTTCTTTTTCTCTTTTTGTTTCTTTACCTTCGGTCTCTTCCATCTGACCCCAGAGTTCATCTCCAGCTCCCCCAGAGGAAAGTGATAATCCACGAACAGCCCGTCCCGACCCACCGTGTTCACGTCCCCGCTCTCCGGAGGCATGTCCTCGGTCAGCAGCTCCGCCAGCCACCGGCGGGACTGAGACCCGAGCAGCTCGTCGGAGCAGACCGAGTCCACATCGTCCTCCGCCGAAGGGAGGGAGCATTCAGAGGACACACTCAGAGACTTGATCATGGTGGAGGTCTGCAGGTACTCCAGGTACTTCAGGTACTCCAGGTACTTCAGGTACTTTAGGTACTGCAGGTACTTCTGGAGAGCTTCTTCCTTTTTATAAACTCAGGTACTAAACTCTGAGGACACGCCCCCTGAGGACAGACGCTCACCTGAGCGGAAACTGCTGCAGCTCATCGGACACGCCCACAGGTGTTCATTTGAGATCAGACATGAAGTAATTCAAAGTTTTAGAGAATAAACTTTTAATGATGAACTGATTTTATAAACGTTTCCTCATTTGATTCTCTGACAAAAAGAAAATAATCATATTTAACTAAATGTCCAACTGTAGAGCTGGAAACTGTGATTCTTGTTTTGTGATTCTTTTTCAAACTGTTTTTATTTTGTGACACATTCTCTAAATTAAAGAACTAAAAATGGAACTTCATTTCTCCCAGAATGAGATTTACAGTCTGTTGGAGTCAATCACAAAATAAAACACAGCATATGTCAAACACTCACAAAAGCTTTAGGATGAAAACTGTTTTGAGACTTCGAGAGATTTAAAAAGATCCTAAAGATGTTGCCTGTTAGATTTCAGGAGGTCAATCCTTCTAGTTTCAGTCTTCAACAGCAGAGGTCTGAGAATAACCAGCAGTTAAACGTGGAGGCGGAACATTAACGTTCACATAAATCATTCACATAAATCGTTCACATCGTCATCAGGAAACAGGAGAACCAGAAGCAGTTCCTCATGTTTTTGATGATGAATCCAGTTGCAGCTCTAATAGTTTTCCTGGAGATCTGACAAAGAGGATTTCAGTCTCTGTCGGTTACAGCAGCTGAATCAATGACATCGTTTCCTCACAGTGAAACTTAAATCCTGCTGAAACACAGAGAACCACACATCCAGTCATCCTCATCCACACGTCACATCCCGTGAAACACAATGTGTGAAGCAGCTTTGATCCACTGATCCAGTTGTGTAACAGTCGTTTATATATTTAACAGTCACACCAGGAAGTTCACTCATTTCTGGGAAGAAGAGAAAGAACGAAAACACTGACTCAGGCTGGAAATGATAAATTACTTTTATTGAGAAAAGTTTGATTATGAAAACAAATGATGAATGGATGAATCTTTGAATCTGCCTCGACTGAAGTGTTTGATGAAGAGTGTGTGTGTGTGTGATGAAGAGTGTGTGTGTATCACTGAGATGTGGCCATGATGCTGGATACACCTGAAAAAAACAAAACAGATTGATCTTTGATTTCACCTCAAGTCACAGAAACAAACTATAAACGTGAAACTTCAGAATCGGTTTCTGTGTAAAATAATCTGATCGAACTGAAGCGAGAGTTTCGATCTCTGGTCTCCAGACTCGATTCTGTGACTCGTACATTTCCTCATTTATTTTAGGAGCTCGATCGGCGACACTCACTCTCAAAGTCGATCTTCTCCACGATGTTCTTGGGCTTGACGCTCTCCTCCTGGTTGAAGATGAAGATCTGACCGTCCTCGTTCTCTGTCCAGCCGTATTTATTCATCCACACCTTCACCTGCGTGTCTGGACACAGACGCACAGCTCGTCAGTGACAGGAAGTGTTTGATTAGAGCTTTAAATCTCTTCTAACGGGGGAGGCACTCTGAGTTATTGTCTTGTATATTTTATGAAGTGGCTGTAAAGCAGAATATTAAAGATTGAGTGTGACCGGTTTGTGTTTCCTCACCCAGCGGATCTCCCAACATCTCAGCCAGTAACCGGTGCTCGATGGTCTGGTAGGTGATGCCCACTACATGACAGATGACTGGAGGAGGAGAAGGAGGAGGAGGAGGAGGAGAAGAAGGAGGAGGAGAAGATCAGTCAAACAGGGTCAAGTCTTCTCTATTGATTCCGACATGGTTACTTCCTGTTCTTCCAGAAAGTGAGGATCAACTCTCCGCTGCCGTGAGTCAGACGATGATACTCACACTTACGAACGGAATTCTCAAATCCAGTGATGCCGTCGATGAGCTCACTGTTCTCCTCCAGACTCGTCTGTCGGAGACAAAGACGACGACGTGATTCGACAACAGCACATCAACAAAGAGGAGCAGAGACGTTGAAAGAAGGAAATGGAGAAAATCCCGGACCGATCAGAACATTTTATTAACCACTGATTTAAAACACGATTATTTCTGTCGCTTCATTAATCACAGACTTAGTTATTTGATCAGTGATCAGTTGACGCAACAGACCGGCTGTGATCGTCCTGCTACAGAACGACACGCGAGGCTGGAGGAGGTGAGAGCAGGAAGTTACAGATGTGAGGAAAAGAGAGGAGGGACTGAACGAGGAGGTACAGTACTCTGTGTGTGTGTGTGTGTGTGTGTGTGTGTGGGGGACGTACCCAGAAGCTCTGGAAGTGACACGTCTCCAGCAGGTTCCCCAGGTAGAGGATCTGTCTGATGGGACGTTCCTCTTGCTGCGACACAGTAGTCAAGGAAACTGACCCGAGACAAACCCCCACACCCCACCCCCACAAACCCAGCTCTGCCCACACACACTCCTACGTTATGTTACACATCTTCTATCACCAGAATCTCAACGGTTCCCTTAAATCAATCACACTCAGACATCAGGCTCTGAAACACGTCTGATTACTTCATCAAGGAATTCTGCCAACAGTGACTGAACCTCGACCTTCGACCACGTTTACACAAATCAGCTCCGTCTGTGGAACAAACTGTAATGAACCTGTAAGCTCCGGCGTGGAGTCACGGCGCTGCAGCAGATGGATACGTGTGTCTGGTCGATCATGCACTTGCACAGAGTGAAGTCGGTGTGCGGCAGGTTGGTCAGAGCCTTCAGCAGAATCTGTGACGTCACCTGCGTCTGGAAGTAGGCGGGGTTAAACTGGTACCTGCACAGGAAGAGACGCACGTTAAGAGTTTGAACTTTTTCCACCGGAGACTTTTTTATCCTGAGCTTTAGTGAATAACACCTAAAGAGATAAACGGTTAGAGGAGAGGCGGAGCAATCGAACGACTCCTGCAGCAAACAGGAAGTCGTGATAAATCCTTCTGATGTTTTAAACGAGGTCTCACGGGGACCCGTCAATTCAGCGTCCCCCGTGTGTCTTCCACCGGTTAGTGGACGTGTGAGTGTTACAGGGACTCACAGCTTCAGGACGGCCAGGTTGGCCTCCAGGTCGTAGGTGTTCTCCTTCGCTTGCGTCTCCACGTAACGTTCCAGCGTCGCCAGGTTCTCTGGGTTGTACCTGAAGGAGGAGGAGGAGACGTTTACACGTGAATCACTGGTGTGTTCAGAGTTTCACTGTGTTCTGTGGGAAGAGGAGATTTGTTTCCTGAGTCTCAGCTCTAACGTGACGAGGGATCCGTTCACCGCGGAAGACAAAGTGTTTCAAAGTGGAAAACATTATTTCGTGATAATGAATTGAACCTGCTCTCTTGTGAGTTTGAGACTCGTGTCTGCTCCTCTCACATCATCATCACAGGATTTCTAAGACTTGACTTCTGTTCTTTTCTCGGCTGATTTTACTTCCTGTGTTTGTTCTGTACGTCATCAGGTGACATCTGTCCACATGTGTGCAGATGTTGAGCAGCTGTGAACAGGAAACTGACTCTGAACCTCTGATCTTATACAAATGGTGAAGAACACGGATGATGACGAAGCAGCTGTTTTGAGTTTCAGTCACAAAATGAAAAACTTTAAAGATTCATCTTCGTCTAAATATAAACCACGTGGCTCTTTAGCACGTGGTCAACTCTCGTGGTTCGATCTCAAACTGCGGTTAACTCAGAGGTTTACGAAGCAGAACGAGCTAACGTTAGCTACACCGTTAGCACACATGCTAAGCTAGCGTTAGCACGGTTGTCGCGCCGGACCATCCGTACCGGTCGATCCCCCGGAGGAGCTCCCCCACGTTCACCCGCATCTGCTCGAAAGGCGACGACATCTGGACCCTAGTTTGTTTTCACGGTGAAAGTTAAAGATGAAAACCGGAATTAAATCCACACGTGGAGCCGCAGACTGAGGAGGCACCGGAGGGAGAAGAGGGTCGGACCGGAAGAAAGCGGAACGGAAAGAGGACAGTAATGATCGACGGACCGTTTCACTTTGGAGAAACTCTCAATTAACGTGACGCTGAAACTGTTGTGTTGTGTATTTATTGTGTATTTATTGTGTATTTATTGTGTTTTAAGTGTTTTTAGTTTTTATTAAAAACCGAATCTTTTCCGACTTTTCATGTTTTTGTTGTTTTCCTCCAGTTGCGTCACTGTATTCTGAAAGTATCAAACCGGAAGTCGTAGCATGCTGTCACTTGCATCGCGTCTTTTTTTTTTTTTTTTTTTTACCATTTGGATTCTCTGCAGTTTCAAGTGTAACCACGAGGGGGCGGCAAACTCCATGAGTCTGAGCCCACAGCGGTCAAAGTGAGGTACTGCAACACGTGCACAACAGTAAAGCTAGCGTCAATGCGAACAAGAGAGACGAGGACCACTTCCGGAAAATACTTTCACGGTAAAAGGAGAAAAAAGGGAAATGACGAAATTTGAAAAACACGCACACTGACGTGTTCTTCCTTTTTTCATTCGTTTTTTTTCCTCCAGCAATTTGCTCTTCAACACTTCGCTCTTTTGTTTCCTATTATTTATTCTCATGAATGTTGAACGCACTAATCATAAGTTGCTTTGGATAAAAGCGTCAGTAAAATGACCTGAGATGTGATGTGATGTCATTTCTGTATTTTTTATTAGTTATATGGACGCAGGTGTCTTACACGTGTTTTAACTGCCCCCTTGTGGTCAGAGTCTGGAACTGCAGCACGTTAAAGTCGTAAAGTTAGCGACGCTTGAATTGGGGGCGAAATAAAACCAATGGAAACAAGTGATCTGTTGTGTAAACGGTTGAATCCAGGCGTTAGGAGGTCTCAGTGACCTTGACCTTTGACCTCTTTACCACCAGATTCAATCGGCTCATCTTTGAGTCAGAAGCATTTTAGCGCGTTGGAAGAAATCCTCCTTATCTGATTCAGATGGAGCCTCGTTCCCTCCGTCGCTCACTGGGCTCGTTCACTCCTGAACGTGTTCAAGTCTTTCCT